GCTCACAGCCCGGAGGTGGCTGTGTGCTCAGCCAAGCCATATGTCCTCACGAAGCTCGGCCACAGCGCATGGGCGCTGCAGTCTGCAGCGCCGGCTACTTCAAAAGTCGGGTAAGTTTCAGACAGAAAAGTCGTCTGAAAATTGGCTGAATCGCGTCTACTCAGGCGTGCAAGCAATGTCTAGGAAGCTCGGACAGTTTTCAGACGCGGTTTAGCCTCGCCTTTCCATGCGGGGTGTTTTTGGTCTGAATTCTACCCGGGCTGCAGCGCGTCGAGGAGGTGGACTTGATCCGACCTGCACGCGTGCAGTACCGGAGACCAAGACTTGTACAGCAGGACTGAGTGCTGACGGTCTTGTCCACAGGAGCAGGCGTCAGCTGAGTGGCGAGCGTGCTGGGGTATGGTCCGGAAACCGTCGGCCCGGGGATCGACTCCTGTCGGGGGTGAACTTTTTTCTTGACCTGCTGAGTAGGTGGTAAAGTCGACCTCCTTACCTTGCTGCAGACCTAGTCGGATTCACACCGACGTAGTGTCAGGAGTGTCAATTTTCTTCTAAGAAAAAAAAACTAAAATAAATCAAGGGGACTCGATCCCCAGGCCGACGGTGTCCGGACCACTCACCAGCGCGCTCGCAACTCGGCTGTAAGCTGCTCCTCACCACCGTGAGATCAGAACTCGGTCTCGCTTTACGGGTCTTCCTCTCCTGTATTGCACGCGTGCAGGTCGGGTCAGTCCACCTCCTCGACGTGCTGCAGCCCGGGTCAAATGGGCCTAACCTAACCCCCGCGCGCCCAAGGGGCTCTTTTAGTGGCCATTTTCCGTGTTTCGGGCCAAGAGACGACCCGGGCTGCAGCGCGTCGAGGAGGTGGACTTGACCCGACCTGAACGCGTGCAATCAAGGAGACCAAGACTCTTAAAGCAGGACCGAGTTCTGAACCTTCCACTGACAAGTGGAGCCGACAGCCGAGTGGCGAGCGCTCTGGGGTGTGCGGTCCGGAAACCGTCGGCCCAGGGATCGAATACCACCCGTAGAGCTTTTTTCTCTTTCTGTTGATCATGTCTTCGGGATTCAGCGAGAGCCAAGATGCACATGTCGCCGGGAGCGGATCAACAGGGCGGGAAAAAAGTACCGCGACTGGGATTCGATCCCTGAGCAGACGGTTTCCGGACCATACCCCAGCGCGCTCGCCACTCAACTGTCGCCTGCTCTTGTAGACGGGAACGTCAGCACTCGGTCCTGCTTTACAAGTCTTGGTCTCCGGTACTGCACGCGTGCAGGTCGGATCAAGTCCACCTCCTCGACGCGCTGCAGCCCGGGTAGAATTCAGACCAAAAACACGGAACAAGTCCCATAAATGGACCTGGACGTGTCTACTACCACTTGTCGCCGCGACACGAGTTGTCGCTTGGACGCCTGCGAGGTAGGCCACGGCTTCTCTCTAAGGCGTCGGTTGTGACGGGGGCTTTGAGTTTAGGCTCCTTTTGACTTCAGGCTCATAAATCCTTTTTAAAGCTAAGAAGTGAGGCCGTGTCAATCTAGGCGTGGGTCGATGATTGTCGCTGAAAACGCCTGGAGGGTAGGCAATGCTTTCCTGAATCGGGCCCCCGCGGCCCCCTGTCCCTCCGAGCGCTTG